TCAATGGTAGTATTTAATGTTCTACAAAATGCAAACTTAATGAGAAGATTCTGACATGAGAATGAGCTTGCAATCCACAAAAAGGTATGGGTATTGAGAGTAAGCCCATTTTGCTGTTACGCAGGTACTCGAATGGAATTAGATTTTTAAATATTTTAAGTTTCATCCCAGTTTTATATTAAGAGCTGAGTCTACAAGTGGGAAATTGCATGTTTGGAAGAATGCTTCACTTTATGGATGTGCATGTGTGACATGAGTGTGCATGGTGTGAGTGTTGTGTGTGTGCGCATGCGTGTGTGTGTGTGCGCGCGTGCGTGTGTGGGCTCGTATGAGCATGGACGCCTGTTCTCATTGGTTGGGTAGAGAAAGGAGTGAGGATGTGGTGAGCTGACGTGTGAATGACGGGAAAATGCAGGCTATCTTAGAGAAATTGTGAGTCAGTCAGCACAAGCACTAGTCTAGTGGTAAGTGAGAGATTTAGAAATGGCAACCGAAAGTATAAAGCAGGAGATTTTTCTGGGAGCTGACAGGGGGCGGGGGGATTCTGCATATCTTAGAAGGGAGAGTTTAGTTCTTAAAATCCAGTAAACTCCTGAGTCTCCATCTAAACAGTATCAAAGAAAACTATTTTAAATGGAAACTGAGGTTTGAATTTGGGGCCCAGGCAAAAGAAAGCCTTACTTTGGTTAGTAATATGTTTCAAACTGTTATATAAGATAGAGACACACAAAGAGGTGAAGAGTCACTTAGACATATTAAAAATGTTAACAATACTTATCTCTGAATGGTGATATCATGGCAATTTTTAATTTCTTCTTTTTATGCTTTTTTGTAGTTACTAGTTTCATGAGTTAATATATATTAATTTTGTAATTAGGCAAAAAAACAACAAACACGATTTTGAAAATAAATTTAATCATGGATTTTTTTTGGGGGGGGTATGATCTAATCCAGGAGTCTAGGGGATGATGGAGTGTGACACAGACTACCACCAAAATATACCAATTAAATAAAAGTATAGTGATGGTTGATACTATGCTCCATGCAGGATCTAAACGTGCTTCACTTTTAAAGCCCTTGACTGGGGCTCCTGGGTGGCTCAGTCAGTTAAGTGTCCAACTCTTGGTTTCAGTTCAGGTCATGATCTCATGGGTCATGGGATCAAGCCCCACGTTGGTTCTGTGCTTAGCAGGGAGTCTGCTTAAAGAATCCTTCTGGGCGCCTGGGTGGCTCAGTTGGTTAAGCGACTGCCTTCGGCTCAGGTCATGGTCCTGGAGTCCCAGGATCGAGTCCCGCATCGGGCTCCCTGCTCGGCAGGGAGTCTGCTTCTCCCTCTGACCCTCCTCCCTCTCATGCTCTCTGTGTCTCATTCTCTCTCTCTCTCAAATAAATAAATAAAAATCTAAAAAAAAAAAAAAAAAAAAAAAAAAAAAGAATCCTTCTGCTCCTCACCCCAGTCATTCCCTCTCTCTCTTTCTCTCTAAGATAAATAAGTCTTAAAAAAAAAAAAAAAAGGCCCTTGACTGATAGCAGGAGTGTGATGTGATGGAATTACAGAGTCAGCAAGGACTCCGACACCATAGTAGCCCTTCTCTCTTTTGTACTTTCTCTCCTTTATTATCTTTCTCACCCGGATTTAGCTGGATTATTTTGGCCCCACCATTTTAATGTAGTAATTCATCCCCTTTCCCTGAATCAGGTGATCCATCGTTTTGGGGATGGTGGGCATGAAACTCCTTCAAATCTCTTCCAGCCTTATTTAGTTAAGACAAAATTGGACTTTTTCAAAAAGGAACTCCTACTAGGAAATAAAAAGAAAAAACAAAACCAGACATTTTGAAATAGACATGTTTTAAAGCACAGCCTTCTATCTTAATACTGAAATCAGATCTTGGCATGTTCGAGTACCCACACAAATTCTGCATTGTTGGTGAGAGCCTGAAGGAAATGTTAGGATTTTGGCAGTTGTTGACTATTCAGTTTTGTTACTATGTTTTTTGCCCTCTTAGGAATGTATGTTTTCCCAAAAGAAAACATAATTAAAGAGTCCCAGTATCTGATATTAACAGGCAAGTGGGTAACATGACAATACATTACTCTATGCTAAGGTCTTCAAAGAATCTGGCAAGGAATCTGAAATTTTTCAGGAAAACTGAAATTTTTAAAGCAGGAAAGTGTTTTAAAACACATTTTAATCTATATGTGTTTTCTTTTCCTTTTTATTTTATAACTGGAAATTTATACCTCTTAATTCACTTCACCTATTTCACTCCCCCCCCCCATGTGGTTAATAGTTCCCTTTGACTTAGGAAACATTAGACAAAGTGATTGTACAAATTCTTGTTGAGGTTCCTCTAACTAAATTTCAATTAGTGGCCTGACAGAAATAGCATCCGGGAGGCTTTGTCTAGAGATGCTCTTCTGTCCTTGACTCTGGCAATAATGATCCTCAGATTTGTCCAAATGTAGTGAGGCTGTTATCTTCTTTCTCTCCTTCTGCTCCTCTTTCTTCCCTTTCTATTGCATTTCTAGGTCCCTGAAATCCTCCTGGTCCTAGAGGTATTAAACTTCTCCCTTATAAATCTGAGGTCCCTCAAACCCTGCCTGCCTTTTATACTGACTTTCATTGACCCTTCTTCTGAGGATATCTATAACTTAGGAATCTTTAGGAAAGTTAGCCCTTACTCTTGAAGCATTTGTGGGTTTTGTAGAGTTTCTCTCAAGCATGCTTTTAACTCAGTATCGAGCTGACTGCTAAAATTCAGCTTTAAGTGATGCGCTGGGTAAGTTCTCACTAGATGCTCTGGGAATTGAATGACAGACACCATTTTCCCTGGAGTCTGGATCAGTCACATCAGCACGATCCTTTGGTTAGACTCTTTCACATCTCTGTTTAAGAGTTTATTTCTCCTTTAACGTTGCTACAATCTGTCTGAGGGATGTCTTCCAGTCCCAATTAATCCAGAAGAGAGGAATAACACACTGCATCCACTGAACAACCAAGCATTTTTCTAATTCGGGTTATACTCTATTGTAACAAAGATCTTTGCTCAATCTCTAGGGGCTTCTAGAAGAGGAATACAGTGACCCTGGTCTTTCTGCAGAGAAGTGAGAGGGAAAGCCAGGGGCTTTGGTAGATATACTTCCCCCATGCTTAATCCTCAAGTGAGAATCTTCCTATCCTTCAGGTGTACTGTCTAGCTTAAGATAGTCACACACATTACACATGTCAGCGAAGTGATGTCAAATGGAAAGTGTGGAGACAGTCAGGAGATGTGAAGGGCCAAGTTTGGGTACAAGGCTGTGTCCAGAGGCATGTCTTAACCTTTTGGATTAGGGACTACCCTGTAACCACCCTGAGTTTAATTTTTTATTGTCTTGAGTCTAAATTGCTTGGGGTAATAATTGTTAGGTCCTGAAATAGGTTACTGATGTGATAGTTTCCTTGTCTTTTTTAAATGTCACGATCTTGAATCATACTTACTGACACCTTCCTGAGGCTTTTGAGTCCATCAAATGTGTGCAGATTTCATTTTGGTTAATTTCATTGTTTTCTGGCTTTCATCTAAAATTGCCCACTGGCATTTCCCTGCCAAGGTGTAGCTGGAACCCATAAAGCCATATTGGTTGATAAAGGTCATTTAGTCCTACCAATTAGAAAATAAGCTACATTGCTTCTGGTTAGGGATTCCACACACATTTTTAAAAAGGAAATGCCAAAAGAGAGGTTTTTTTTTTTTTTTTTTTTTTTTTCCTCCTTGCAGAAGTTAATTTGATTCATTAAAGGGCTGAGAATTCTCCAGCCAGAAAATCAGTTTTTTAATGGGCATCAGGTTGGGACAGGGCAGATCACCAAGAAGAAAGACTCCAAGAAAGAGGATAAAAGAGAAAAGAAAAATAAGTGTCTACATAAGCTTTTATTTTTGTTGTTTCTAAATTTGCATGTGTGCTCTTCTTCCATAGTACTGGAGATTCCTAATGAGAACACTCTTATTTTGTGTCTTAAAGAAACCTAGTGATGATTTTTAAGCAATCGAAAGCAGAGATCTTTTATAAAGCTTTTTGAAGTAATTGAGGTGGCCTTCCAGGTAACCCATATTGTAAGATCTAGATTTGAAATAGGCATTTTTGGTGGTGGTGGGAAGAGAGGGGGTTGCATCAGCAAAAATTTTACTGTCTTCTCTGTCCCTTCTTTCATACTGTGCAATTCTGAGAGCTCTTAAACCGTGATAAGGAAGTGAGTATGCTTTGCGTTTCTCTAAGGATCTAACTGAGGGCATCCATCTAAATAAGCATTTCTAGGAATGCAGGTTTAATGACACAGGTAATTCTGATTGGAGAAATAAGATTTTACAGAGAGAGCCTAGGGAAGCAAATAAAATCTGCGGTGGGGTTTGGCCAAAGAAATGCAGAGCTCCTGGAGGGCGGGAGACATGTATTTTCCATCCTTCTCCGAACCCAGAGCCCCAGATTTGTGACTGGTACGTATCTATGGTACACAAGTAATGAACTGAGTAATGTCAGTTGCGGAGGGACAGAGGCAGGGCAGGCTCTGCCTGGTCGTGGGGTAGCCCGGCGCCTGGCTGTGTCACTCAGGCTCCGAGATAACCTAGGGGTGAGACGTAGGGCCAGGACACGGCTCCTTCCGGCCTCCCCCATAGTGCGGCTCGAATCTTCTGAAGCTGCCAGTTGCCAAATGAAATCTGAAACCCTGGGCTGCGTCTGAGGGTTGGCCCCGCTCAGTTGTTCCAGCCTCTTGTACTGTATATTTACACATTCACACACAATCACTCTTTCTAACTTCTGGGACTCTTTGCGCAACTGCTAGGATTTCTCAAGTGCATGTGGCAACTCAGCCCAGCTCCGGGGGAAAGCGGCGGGGCTCCGGAGGGTCTCCAGGGCCGGGGGAGCTGTCACGACTGCGGCGGGGACAGGCGAGGATCGAGGCGCGGGCGGTGGGGGGGGGAAACACCCACAACTTTCCACCCCAGCCGCAGCTCCTTCGGCCGCTGAGCATTTCCTCCCGAAACCACAGCTGCGGAGCCACCAAGTGCATGGGGCGCAACACTTCCCCTTGTTGTGGGAAGTAGAGTAGCCGTCCCTCCCCCCCTTTTCTTTTCCTTCGGCTTGTCCTGGGAGCCTTTCCCTTTGGAGCAGCCGCCGTCCCGCGTCTGTCGTGTGCTCCGAGCAGGGTAGGTAGGTGACGCTGCGCCGGGGTGTGCGCCGGGGCCACCGCGGGAGGCTGAGATGCGGCCCGGGGCGCGCGCGGGGGCTGCAGCCACAGCTGCCTGCGACAGGGAGGGGAGCTGCTGGGGGCGAGGAGGGATCGCCGGAATCCCGTGCTGGTGCAGTGGTGTGTGTGTGTGTGTGTGTGTGTGTGTGTGTGTGTGTGTGTGTTGGAAAACAATTTTTATTTTTAAAAGGAAGAAAAGATGTAAGCTGGTAGTATGTGTTTCTGGCCTTAAACATAGATGGAATTTATAAAAATCGTGCAGTTCAACTCCCTTACTATCCATCCTTCCTTCTCCATCCAACCGCCCCCCGCCCCGCCCCGCCCCTCCTTCCCTGTTTGTCTCCACTAGCGTCTTGCGAGAGTTTCCTAGATAACAGGCACACAGAGGTAGGTTTTAATAATGAACTCTTTTATTGCCAACGTAAAATAATAGGGAATCTTTGGTGAATTTTAAGCCACCCCAAAGATTTTGTTTAGATTTTTTAAAAAGTAACTTTTTGAAGACGTTTTCCATCCTCTCTTGAGTATAAATAGGTAATATGTTGTCATTTAAAAAAATAGCGTGGGCTGTATTTCTTTTATAAATCCCCAAAAAGAAGGGGAGATAATACTCTTCGAGAAATATTCTTGGAGATATTAGGTTTTCAATACCAACTAGTAATAGGGAGCCCAGACTCCCTCTATGTAGTCTAGGTCTATTTAATTCATTTGAATTAAAAGATAATCTCCAGACTATTGTGTTTCCATCATAGTTTTTGTTACTTTTTTTTTTAAACCTTAGCAAGACATCATCATTTCATCTCTTTCTAAAAAGAGGAAATACATAAGTCATGCTGGATATTTGAAATATAAAAGTTGTAAGAGGTTTGCTTATGCATAAGTAAAACAATGTGTGTTGCTGTGTCTACTAAGGAAGACAAGTTAATTGAAACCTGGAGTATTTACAGTACAGTTAAGAACTTTACTCCATTACTGAGAAGAAGATGGACAGACAGATTAAATACAATCTGTCCCCTGATTCTAATTAGAACTCAAAACCAACCCTTAAGGGCAAGAATGGATGTTGGTATTAAGCTGGGCATCATAAAACACAGAGAATTAATATATTAGGAAAAGCCAGAAAAGAAGTATAAAGCCACATCAGACTTGTTAAGATCTCGCTCTCCCTTTTAAATTTCTTAATACTTCCTCTTCTCTGGGGACATTTCAACTTCTAAGGGAGCCCAGTAATACAATTCCCCTTTTTATCTTTCTTGAGTGCCTGATCTTTAGGTAAGAAGTCAAGGAGTCCATTCTTTAGATCCATTACTGAGTTGTCAGAGAATTCACGTTAGACATCTTGGAGGACTGAAATACTGGCAAAACTTTAAAATAAATAACATTCTCTTCCCACTCAGAGGAGGTATGTTCTTAGGGGAAGATCTTTAAGTGGGAATAAGGGATAAACTATGAGTTTTTCAGATCTGGAATTTAGTTTGGGGTATGTGTGAGGAATACACAACTAGTGTGATAAAGAGAAGGAGAATCTGTAAATTTTTTTCTGCATCTGAAAGTCTGTTGAAACTCAGTCTGTCCTTGGCTTTCAACTGTATTATTTTGTTTTATTACTTAATCTCAGGGATTTGGGATTGAAAGGTGGATGGTTTCTGAGTAATGTTCTTTTGTGCTGTGTGTACTGGTGAATTTGAATCATTTTGAAAATGCAGCCTGATAGTAAGTGAAGAAAAACTATGTTCTCGAGAAAAAAAAAATCACTGAAGAAGAAATAGGACTGTACCCTTCCAGACAAGAGTATAGGTTTGAGTGTAAAAGAGAAAAGTGTTCTGGGCTTAAATTTCCAGTGAGGTCCTTTCGGGGTTTTTCTTGGTATAGTAATAGCCAAAGCTCTGAGAATTTTCACCGGTCAGGGCTTTATTTACTGTGTGATCTTGGACTCTCTAGGATGGAGGGTGGGGGGTAAGGGAAAGGGCAGGAAGGGTAAGGAATGTGCAACAGGTGGTAATAAGTGGTTCGAGTCTGATTGCTTTGCTGTCTTGGCCAAAGCTGAGTTGGTGTTTACCAACAGTGCCTTAGTAGTATTGTTGTGACCTTCTGGCCCATTCCAGTGTGTTTTCTTTCTGGCTCGATTAGTGTCTGGGTTGGTTTCGTACGGCAAAGAGCAAGCAGAACTGCTGCAAAATCCAGACCATGCATTTTGTTTCTGTTTTTAGTGTTAGCAGTGCTGTAGGATCATCTCAGTTACCTGTAGTTATTTTCCTTTGGTATTTCTGGCTGGTAATAAAAGGTTCTTTCCTGGTGAGTTGAGCTTATGTAATGCTGATCCCTTCTTTCCACCATGTGTCAATTTTTGGTAAAGGTGAGAGCTTTGGGGAAAAAAGATGGAGGGGGTGAATAGAGCCTCAGCTTGGAGGCCAGTGGAAGGCACAGCCCCTCAGTTAGTCACACCTGGTTGGAGGAGGTTAACGATAAGAAGAAGAACCTGAGGCATCCATTCCACAGTGGTCACATTTTCCTGAGAAAAAAAGCCCCCACGATTTAAAATCCAGAGATGCTTGTTTACTCTTAAATCCATGGCTAAAGGACTAATATTTCTCCCAGATGGAGAAGGGTATTTAAAAATAAAATTGTAAATGGTCCACTTTGCCATGAAGTTAATGCTCTTCATGTGAAGAGTTCAAGCCTCAGACTGAGTCTTGAAATGGTGACCCGTCTGGACTTCGCTACTCAAACTTTATAAGATTATGATGGTTTCAGTGGCTAAGTAGAGGTACATTTGGAAGTGGGGGGATTGTTCTGATGAGATACAAGGAATGTTCAGTTTTCAGAGGTTATTGTGTACATGTGTGCTTTTAAGCAGCATCTACTCCCAACCATGGCATTGCTACAACTAATCTTTATACAGGACAGATCTAATTGTGTCAATCCCTTGTTCTAAAACCTTTGATGGATCCCGGGATCCCAATTATCCTACAACAGTAACTCTAAGCTCTTTAGTATAGTGACTGAAAGCTTTTAAAGCCCTTCCTTTTTAGCTTCTTTTTGCTGCACAAGGGCTCCTCATTGTTCACACTTCCGATTTTTTGCTCATGGATTTCCATTCTCCAGGAATTTCCTTTGCCTGAAAGTCCATTCTTGGTGGTCCATTTCAACTGGAACTTTCTCTGGGTGAACTTACCCAGTTCTATGCAGGAAAGATAAATCATTTCATCTTGTCTGCTTTCATGGTGTTTTGAACATACCTCGAATAATTATTTTGAATAATTTTTATTATTAAAATATTACTACCAATCAACTATAGTGAGTTCCTTAACAGTTATATTGGTGGTGGAGGACCCACCTGCATCCTAGTGCCTAGCCCAGTGTCTGAAACATATAGTAGATATGTGTTAATGTTTCCTTAATAAATGGGCAAGCCAAGTTATGAATGAATAAAGTACTGGTGGACTCCAATTTATCCAGATAGTTTTTTTCCCCAAAGGTCCCATTTGAAAAATATCTATTTGGACTCAGAGTTCATTTTCCAAAAGTAACAATACTACAAAATGTAATTCACTTTCTAGACCAGCCCACGCATGTCTATTTAATTCCTATAATAGATGAAATTTGTGCTTTTGAAATGATAAAGCAAAAGCAAAGCAAAACAAAAAACTACTTTGGGATCATCTTTTTCTTTTGAAAAAACACAAGGCATACTCGAGTTTAAAGATAATAGAAACAGTTCTAATAGATACACATTTTTCACAATTGTTTTTTATATGATACTATAAAATCTGTAATCTATCAAATCCCAGTGGGAGGTGCTAGTTTGGCTGTGAGGAGTAATAATGGAGTTAAATTTAGAGATTCTGCTGCCTGTGGATGGGCAATAATTTTAATTAATCAAACAAAATAGAAATACTAATTTTGGCTATTTAATAATTATCTTGAGTGCTAGTGCTTGAAGGAAGTTGGATTTAATTAAAGGAGAATGTGGAGGTGGATGGAGAGGAGGAAATTCAGAAGGGCATCTTTTTTCATGTTACTGATTTTTTATTATATGGGTTTTCTTTTCATCTCATTTGAGCACTTAGGCCAAATCCAAAGTTTCTTCCTGAAAAAATTTGTCTTACTCTACAGTTATTTCTGCTGCCTGACATGTAGAAGGGGGTTGCTCTCCATTTGAACCAAAATACAAATGGGCTTTCTTTCATTTTCCGAGCAGTGTTTCCTCTGGCACCTGCATGCCTCTACATAATTTTTCAATCAAGAATGCATCATGCTTGTGTTTTAGTCACCAGCCAGGGACACTAAGCTCAAATTGTTCCTTATGTAGTATCTCTGAGAAGAGTGGAAGAGCAAGCATTGATATTTAAGAGTAAGAGTCTACTTAGTTTTCTTGGGCGCCTGGGTGGCTCAGTTGGTTAAGCGACTGCCTTCGGCTCAGGTCATGATCCTGGAGTCCCTGGATCCAGTCCCGCATCGGGCTCCCTGCTCGGCAGGGAGCCTGCTTCTGCCTCTGACCCTCCCCCCTCTCATGTGCCCTCTCTCTCTCAAATAAACAAATAAAATCTTAAAAAAAAAAAAAAAGAGTCTACTTAGTTTTCTAACTCTTCCATGCTCCCTATTTTTATCAAATTATATGACCAGAAGCTTACCTATTCCACTCACTTTACAACACCTTTTCATTAGATTGTCTTCATCACACCGTGCTTTATTGTAGTGCCCTAGATTTTACTGAGTCAACATAAAAGAGATAGGCTGCATGGAAAATATCTCTGCACTTTTTGTTACGTATTTCAATATTCCTTACATAAAGATCTCCGTAAATTCATTTTTGCTTTTACTGCTTTAAAAAGTGTGCCTCTTCTGATTAACTAGTGTTGTTTCTTCTGTTAGAAGAAAGGAGACTAAGAAATCACCATGTTTCTCAGTTTGGCTTGTCACCCAAGAAGCTCAGAACTAAATGTGATCCTTAGTTGTACCC